GGATATGGTACATAAACTTTCTGCAGTGGCCTGAAGCCAAATTTTAATCCCTCTACTACTGTGTGATGTGTGCTTTACCTTTAGTGTTGTGTTCTCCACCTCCGGTGTGGTTCCTTCCAAGTGCTACGTATGAAAGTATATGGCTAATTAAATACCTAATTTTGCTATTTTAAAGAGTGATCATTAATTTATTTAGGATTAAATCCATAATCCGTGTGCAGCTTTTTACGGGCTGCACAAGCTGCAGTGACTCACGAACCAGCTTCGCGTGGGGCTGCAGGGAGAGCCGCGAAGCGGATGCTGAGAAGCGGCATCAACAGCCAGCGACGGAGACAAGCTGCCCCTCAGAGTTCAGGGGGCTAAACGGGGGCTCGCGGTGAAGGGAGGCGCAGCTGGAGCCCGGCACATGCAGCTGGGATGCAGCAGAGGGCAGTGGCACACAAATCCTCAGCTTGGCGAAGGCAAAAGCTTGTCTGCGTGCTGGGCTAGCACACGGCGCGATTACTGCTCTTACGGTGATTCGCGCGCAAAAATCTCACATTCTTTGTGTGTGTGTCAGTATGTGCACACATCAGTGTGTGTGTGTGTGTGTGTGTGTGTGTACACCTACTCAGAAACAGGTGTGTTGAATATTCACGTTTTAAATAACAATTCTGAAGGTTTGATTGCTTTCTCTTATTTCTTTGACAATCATATTCCATTCAACGAATTTACAAGCCCCCTTATCCTCTGAAAATCAAGTCCTTTCCACTTTTGCAAGACGCTGACTTAAATGTTAACAATAAGTGAGGTATTGCTGTTTTCCACAGAACTGATTTCAGTCTTTCCCTCCTTCCTTTCTCTCCCCCAGTGGAAGCTAGGAAGCTTGGATGCACTTGAAGAGAAAAAAAGAGGGTGGAAGGAGCTGCAGCTGAAGCCAGCATAACCCTTCTGCTCCTTAACTGGGTTAATTTGTCTCCTGGCACAGGAACAGAGAGCTTAAGGGAAAGCCACAGAAGAAAAAAAAAAAAAAAAAAAAGAGGCATGTACTATTTGTGTACTAACTGACTTGTGTAATGATATGTGATTCACAACAGCTTTGAAATGCAAGATTAAAAGGCATAATATCCTTCTTGAGGGAAGGATGGATTACATTTCCACTGGGTCCAATCTGCAGAAGAGATGTGTAAGGGAAGAAAATAGTTGTGATGAGGAAACCCAGCCTTGGCTTGAACTAGCTTAAACATAGTGCACTCAGAGCAACTGATTACCAGTGAGAAGCTAATGGATTTGTATGACCAGTCCTTGCACGTCAGTTTTCATCAGGCTATTGCACAGCACTGCTAAATTTAGTGTAATATCTGTTGCATGTAATCGTGGAAAACTTTCAAAAATAGTGTGGCATTATAAATGCTCTCTTTTGCAACACCCAGGGATTTCCATACTCCAATCAAACATGTTGTCTTCTGAGCGAGTGACATTACACTGTGCTCTGCTGCAACCCTGCATGCATTTGTCAGGACCCATCCTCGCACACCCAGGCAGAGACACTCAGCTGTTTAAGCTTGGCTTACAGCACAAGTTGCAAGCGAATTCCTGTGCACATCAAAGAAACGAGGGCCCATCTGGCACATTTCAGTAATCCTGGCACTTTGTGCTCTGAGGGGCCCAGGACTGAAAAAGAAGAGATAGCACAGGTTAGGATGATATGCACTGGCAGGGCTGCATGCACGCAGCTTGCATGGCCTCTGCCTGCAGTTTGGACCCCCAGGAAGAGCAGGAAGGCAGAGGAGGCCTGGAGGTCAGGACAGCAACTTCTGACCTGCAGGGGGGTGTTAGAGCTGAAGATGGAGGAGGATTTGCAGGACCAGGACCAGCACAGTGGGGCCTCACCATCCAGAGCCACGCGGGCAGATGTGGGAGCAGAGAAAGGGTATCGCTCAGCACACAGCTGTGTGCAAAGGGCTGCTGGAATCGGTGGGTTACAGATCAGGATGTCGTCGTATGAAAACTTTTGGCGAGGAGAGCAGAATAGGCAAATGCTTGCAGACTGCATATCTCCCCTGGGATATAACATTAACTAAGATGCTGGCACACAGGATCAATCGGAATAAACTGGAATGACCTCAAGGGACAGACTGGGAAGCATGATGGAGGTAGGAGGTTTTTGCACTGGGAATTTCAGCTGTTCCAGGTCAGCACTGACTTATTTCTGACTTGGTTCGACCAAGTTGTATTTAGCCAAGTCTGAATCAGTGCAAGAAGAAAGTATATGCATTTGGCCCTTCTATCAAAGGGAAGGTTAGTTTTAAGATGTAACTGTACAGAAATCAGAAATAAGATGGGAAAAAAGTTTTGGTTGTGTTTAGCATAGTGAGATGTACTATCCCCTCTGATGACTAGGATAATAGAGAATCATTTCTTTATTTAGTGAAACTAAGCATTATTAAGGCACTTTTCCCCCCCACACTGAAAGAGAAACGTGTAAATTCTTTATATCAGTAACCACCAGGGCAGACATTGGCTGAGGAGCCAGCCTTGTCCTGGGTCACAGCATGACACTCAGAACCCGCCTCTGGTCAACAGATGAATGAAAGAAAAACTATGTCAGAGCTTCACACTAAGCTTTCCATCAATCTCCGTCCATCAGATACATGCACATAGCTGCCTCCTCTCTGCACACAGACCGACTTCATGCTCCCCTCATTCCCTGCCCATAAAACAGAAGACTAAACCAAGAAGGTAACAGTGTTACGTGCCCTGCTGTGACTGACCTACTTCAAGACAGAGCAGAGAAGAGGATGCACAAATCTCCTCTTCATGCAGATTAAAAACGTGCCTTTGGCACTGCATCCTCACACAAACTCATCATTCATTCAACAGAGTTTTTTCATCCTTTTACAGATTTCCCTGGTCTAGCAAAGACCACTCATGACAAGTCCCTGAGGCTCCTATCCCTTGCACTACACCATGTTTCATTCAGAGCTTAAGCATCAGGATGCAGATGAAAGCAAAACAGAGATGAGTGCTTCTTTCTCTGAATTCAAATTTCAAATCAAACACCCACTTTGCTGTACTGTAAACAGAACTGCATGCTTAGAGCATCAAGGCACTGGTGTAATGTGTTTCTTTTTCTTTAAGATTTTACATTTCTCCTGTGAGAAGCAATTACAATAAAAGTGTCAGGCAAAAGTAAACCCATGTTAATCACTGCAAGCCTGCCAGTAAGCCACATCTCAGTGTTGCTGTTACATTTTTTTTAAGCTATAAATGAAAAGTTTGTGAGAATGCCAGGCTAGAAATTAAGATATTCCCAACAGCAGGGCTAAAAAGTTTCTGAAAATGTAAGTTCTCCTCTAATGTTGATGACGTTGAATGGAATTAGAAAACCACCAGAATGGAGCATATAGTCATAGATCAGCTCAAGCTGGTAGGATTCTCTGGAGGACATCAAGTCCAACCCTCACTCAAAGCAAAGCCAAATGCGAGCTTAGGTCAGCTCAGCTGTGCTCAGTGATTTTTTAATATTTCCAAAAGGAAGGTACCACAACCATTCCCCACAACTTACGGAATGCTCAGTCACTCTGACAGCAAAGTGTTTTGTTCTAATATCTGTCTGGCACTTCCTCTGTTGCACCTTGTGCGTTTGTCATTTGTGCTTCTGCCATGCACTTCTCAGAAGGGTCTGGCTCCATCTCCTCTATAACCCCTCACTGCCATTAGCTTTCCCTTCCCCAGCTTGAACCAAGCCAGAAAGCTCAGCACTTACGCGCTCCAGCTCTTAACCATCTATCACAAATACTGCAAGGTTTCTTTTGCTTTTGGTCATTAGCAGGTATATGCACCTACAAGGGGGAAAGGAAACATGGAGAAAACTTTGGGTTCTCATTACCCTGTACTTTTCAATTCAACTTTTCAGCTTTTCACAACACTGCCTTTAAATCAGCTGAAACTCCTGAGCCTTTTGGCCCCTTCCATATTTGACAAGCTTCCGTGGGCATTGGAGGGAGGTTTTCCTCTTATTCTGTGTTTAGCTTTTCCCTCCAGCCCAGACACTATCGCCCCACTGTGAAAAAGGGCCAGTTCAGGGTGGTGCAGCTGCCATACCAGAGTCACATCTCACAAAGGGGCAGTTTCCACTGTGCCAGGGGCTGCCAGCCAGGCTGGTATTCAAAGATAAGTATACTCAGCTCAGAGATATAGTGATGTCTCCTGTTCTCTTTTTCCTTCTAAGCTACAGTACGAGGCTCCAAAATTCGATCAACTGATCGATGGCTTAATCGGTGCTATGAATATTAACAAGAATATCGGCTATCTCTTTCAGTTTAGCATGTCTTTGTGTATGCTGGATCAGAGGTTATTAAGTTTCCAGACTAGATAAAAGCTTATTTTTCCGCATCAGAAACCTTCAAAATATCTCTCATACCTGTTTTAGACATAAGCTGAAATTTAGTAACACGACCGTCACATTTCATTCTAGATTCATGCTTCTTTTCCACAGTAAAGCCCTGACCCTGCAAATTGCAAGTTATGCTGAGTCACCACCCTGAAATCAGCTGCAGACAGAACAGACTTGCTCAGTAAAAAAGGATTTACCAGACTGAGCATTTTTAAGTAACATCATCATTCCCATTTCCATATTCCCTCCCAATTACCCCAAATCCCACAGATTTATATTCCATTCTAGTAGCTTAAGTAGTATTTTTTTCTTTGACACAAGAATATCAAATCACACTCGCTGAATACGCATCAAATCAACATAAACTCCAACTCTGCTCAATCCAACCATATTGAAAGGAAAGATATTTTCAAAGAGCTTTGGCTCAGATAAGCTGCAGCACAGGGAATCACTTCACTTTCTCAAGCATTTGACACAACCAGCTGTATTTGCCACCATCCTTGCTAACTAGAGATTTTCCCATTATTTTACAATAACATAACGTTTCTACGAACAAGAACTGCCACTCTTCTCTCAGTTATCAGTGTGCTGCCCAAGTTTTTGGTTCTACCCAAGGTCTTACCTGTGACCACGCTGGGGATTTTAGACAGAAAGCTCTTCACAGTTCGGATGGGAACTCCACCTGTTTTGTCATCTTGCATTCTTGTAATGATGTCTTCAATCTGTCAAAAGGAAGGGGAGACTTAGTGGCTTATGGAAAATGGTGAATATTTGTATAACTTGAGCGCTTTATAAAGCCCAGCAGACAAATAGGGCTCAGATGTACTCTGCACTGCACAAACACAAACCTAGAAAAGAGGCTGTCCCCTCCCAAACATAAACCATGAGACTGCATAGACGAGGTGGAAAAATGGTAGTCTGACTATACTGGCAATCCTATCATCATCAGCTGTTTTGATGACCAGTGGAGACACTCACAAACACAAGTTGCTAGGTTAGTGTGGGAGTTAGGTTAGATTCTGCACTGCAACCAGCTTCAGGAGCTTTAAACATCAGGGAAGCTTAGACCAGGAGAAAAGGGAGAAGATTCCTCTGTCAGAATGTTAAAAATGATGCGCAGCAGGTAACTCAGTAGGAAGGTACTTTTTTTCTAGGCCAGGGCTCTAAGGTGGTTCAAAATAGAGTATTCAGATCTGTTGCAACAAGAGCTCCCATCCATTTGGAGTAAGTGCCTGGGAGCAGCAAGCCAGAGAAAAATCCCTTCTCAAGGATCACTGTTCTCCATTTGTTCTTGAAGCTTTTCTCTTCAAAGATTGTGTGAAATAACCTCAGCAGGGAGACCATCTCAATGAGAATGAGATACGGTGGGAGACGAACTTGGAACTAGAATCAGAAATAGATTTTCTATGTATGTTAGAAGAGGAAAATATTCTAGAATGTGTTAGTCTCTAATGTGCACTTAAGAACTTTGACAATGCAAGCAAAATTTTGCTAAAATGTTACTTTGTTAGAACTAAAAAAGTTCTAAGAAACAAATAATAGTTTCAATGCAGAAAAGAAACTTCTTACTCTTTTGTTCACTGCAAACCAAAAAACCTCACAAAATATCCTAACATGATTTACATAACTCTCACCCCAAGTAAAAAATCAATTCCAAGCGAAATAAAACTTACCTTAAGAACAAAATACACTCCGCACCACCCCTCCAAAAAAAAAAAAAAAAAAAAAAAAAACCAACCTTATTCAAAAAAAGGGCGGTCTGCACTGGAAGTTACTTTGGATTGCAATTGCACTTAGAAAGCTCTACTGCAATTATAAATCAAAAAGACAAGTTTGCTCTGGAAATCGCTTCTTCCTCCAAGGTTCCAAACGGCTCCTGCTGGACTATAGGCAGTTTTTGGTCTTCCTGTTACTTAGCACTGGACATTATGTCTCTCGTTCCCTTTCTGCTCAGATGTCCCACACCTCTTTTCCTCCCCTTCCTCTCATTTGATCCACAGACTGCTACAGCATCTTCTTACAATAAACTAGCACTTGCAGTCTGGTGCCTGAAAGCACACAGCATTACAGCCTCTGATTGTATGTAATCTCTGTACTCACAACATGCTTTCTTGTGCTCTCCAGAAATTTTCCAAGCTATTTATGGGTCAACAATCCTACTCAAGTTTTTGTTTGATCTGTTACAAAGAAGATCTCTGCGCAACATTTTGACCCACACCACGCTTTGTATTTTGAGTGCACCTGAAGTTCAAATTCCTTTGGGTCCAAATTCCTAATTATGTATAGAAATACTTCATGAAGCATATGATAGTGTGGCAAGAAGAAACAGCGATTCCTGCATCATCAAGCGTGGAGAAAAGTAAAAGGGGATCATCAGGTGTGAAGGCCACTTTTATTGAAGCATTTTGTCTTAACTTTCAGAGTAGTTACTTAGTCACATCACAGCTAATGATGTTTCCTTCAGTTGACCATTTCACTGAAGTTCCCGTTATGCTTCTTTATCTAGCAGACAGCAAATATGAGACCTTGAAGAGTTCATTTCAGCAGGCAAGAATGCAGATATTAAGAAGCGTTCCTCATATTTGTCACCCCTAAATGAGTGATCTTCAGTGACCTAGCTTCTGTCCACTGAAAGTCATGGTAACAGCAGGCACTATTTATCTTTGGTTATGGGGGTTATTCAAGCTATTTCAAGCTGGTCTGATTTTGCACCAGTAAAGGGAATTGTTAGTCTTTTATCTGAGTGGATCCTGGATCAATATCTCCCTGAGAAAGCCAGAGCAATTTATTTAACTGCTGTCACTGCTAGGTGCACACTGTAATGTATTCATCATATTAGACCTGCCTTTCCTAGTGAAGAGATGCCAACCACTCCACTGCCCCGTCCTTTGTCCACAGTGATTGCATTTCACCTCAGTGACCCTCTACTTATAAAGGACTTTCAGTTTTAGGAGCATGCTCAGCAGGGACAGGTATCTACACTGGTAGTTTGAGTTTACCAAACTATTTTCTGCACTAAATCCCAAACTATTTTCTGCACTAAATCCCAAACTATTTTCTGCACTAAATCCCAAGCATGCACTACACGCATGGGAACTTCCTAGTCCTTATCAGGTTGTCTTTTTCACAGTTCTGAGACAGGAAGGGGGAGACCACCTTCATCCTCTGTCCTGGCTGAGATATCTGTCACCTGAGTGAGGATGGAAAGTCGCTCACTGCAAGTAAAGCACAAAAGAAAAAAGACCCTACAGCTGGATACAGGTATTGTCCTACAGGGGCTCTGTACGCCCACAAATACTAATGGGGTTAGGTGATATATGGAGGGCAGAATCAATCTCTTGTGGGATGGCATGACAACAACAGAATTACAAACACATTTGAGCTTTGTTTCTTGACTGAAGTATAAATTTAAAAGAAAGAGACAACATTTCCCACACTACCAATCCCCTGCTTGTTCTTGTGCCTTTTATACTTGCTGATTTCTGCTGCGCTGCCCCGTGCCTGCACACACAGGAAAAGTTAATCTGACAAGATTTCCAAAACCTACTTGTTTCACCAGTCTAGACAATGTCACCCTCCTCATACTGAGGAAGAGGAGGCTGAAAAGAAGTGAAGCAGCACCCTCCCCTCAGCACCCTCCAGGCAGAAAGGCCGTGGTGCTGGGGAGCAGCGGAGCAGCAGACCCAGGGAGCCGCTTTTCGACTTGGAGTGCAGCTTCATCCGTCTCTGTCCAGTCCCTCCTTCCCTACAGGGCAGGTAACACTGAGCACTACAGGACGGGAAGCTGGATTCAGAAGATGCCAGCAAAGGACTTGGAGCCCCTTGGGGACAGTGAAAGCTGCATGACTATGGAAGATGCACTCCTCACCTCCGTCAACCCTTCAAAATGCCCACAGCTGTAGCAAGAAAGAAACTGCAGTGGTGTGCTGACACCCGCACAGCCCATTTACCATGACTGCTGAGGGCAGTGGCACCAAGCAAACTCGTCCTGTTCCTGATGGAACTAATTCTTCTGTTTCTTTCCAAATTTCAGGGCTAATTTGCAGGCAAAGGCAGAACGCTCCTTTTAGCACTTTCCTCAGGCTTTAGTATGTTTCATAAAAGACAGGAAAGAACGACTGTGTTCTTCAGACATGGACTGGGAGGCAGAAAAAAGCTAACGTCACCTTGACAGCAGTACCATGATCAAAATTTACATGTATCTACTCTAGTAGAAAGCAAGGCTGCTGGTGAAGCCATATTTACAAAGGCACTTGTCGTTATTCGTATAGTGACACTGATATACCTGTAGCTACACAAAGCATAATATTTACTCACCAAGTCATCCTTCAAAGGGACAGTTGTTACAGTATCAATAAAATGGTTTACAACTGCACTTCAGCAAACTGAAAGTCTCTAATTGAGTTCATGTCACTTTCTGCCCTCCACCCTGCAAATTAAGACTTTTACCCCATCAGTATTAACAGTTCCACACAGAAGACACACACGTCATGGAAATGTCATTTTCCATTAAAAAACTTTTTGACAAAAAACTCCTTATGAGCTCAAATTCTGCATGAGCTATGATCATCTGAAAGGGAAAAGGTTATTTTTGTCACATTAGAAAGCTGTGTAAAAATACTGAAAGTGGACTATGCAACTTCTAATTATGGCAGCAAAGACTTGGTTCTCCTTCTGCTGCATTTTATAGTGTAATGCAAGTTTCTTGTGAAGACAGTGGTGCATTCTCTTTTTCTAGACTTTCCACAGCTCCAGCATGTCTCAGATGCACACGTAACCACCTTGGAAGGTCTTTCGACATTTAGAGTATGGTTGCTCTGATCAGAAATCCTCTCAGGTTTCCTGCAGAGTGCACAAAACACTTATCTTGCCATGGAAGAAGTATTTTTTATGATTCTAGGGAAGCATCCTAAGTATTTATGGAAAATGTCATGCATTTAAATAAAGCTCTGAGAGGAAAGGCACATGGCTGTAAAATCACCACTGAGGTGGGACGCACGTCACATTTCAGGGAGATAAATTTATACCATGGTTCCTGCCATACAGCATGTATTGACGAAGGGTGGCTTGTGTGTCACTAGGTACACGTGTATTTGGACCTATGTGTGTACCCAATACTAACTACTTTTGACCACACCATCCTAGACTTGAATGGATAATCCTGCAAGGCTCCTCAACAACTTTCTGCCTATGGAGAACTGAAACAAAGCAACAGCATGGGGGGAAATACAAAGGGAAAAAGTTTGAACAGGAAGCCTCTAGCTGTGCCCGCGTTGATATAGTCGCCACAGGTCCCTTACGTGAGGAACCCAAGGGGCTGCGGGAGGCGGAGGCTGAGATGCAAGCAAGCAGCGCTCCCTTCTCACGTGTTTTCACGAAGGGGATGGAGGGCAGCGATGGGCAGCAGGCCGCTGCCCCCGCAGGAACGTGGGATGTGGAGGTTGCCTTGGAAACAGCAGAGATTTTCCTGTCTGTTGCATCCCTGCACCTAACGTAAGGGTAGGCAGGTCTCCAGCCTGCTCGCATAGGGACAAGGGAGAAGCCCAGCGCAGCCACGTGCCTGCACACCTACATCTATACTGTGATTCCAGTCACTGTATCTCACTTGTGTGCATTTGTGGGGGTTTTGTGCATTTTGTTTTAAATTTGAGTCTGTAGTGGTTTGTGCACACCCTGGATGAGGGCGAAATGTCCCTCTTTCTCCTATGATATTGAACTGTAG